CACACACACACACACACACACATAAATAAAATATAAAAAAAAAAGCATATTGAGTAGGTAATGCAGTCAAGTGGTTCAAAATCTGAAATGTATAAAAAGAGATACTGGGAAAAGTCTGCACCTCCTCTCACCATTTCCTGTGTAATGTCCTGCCAATGGACGTATATGAGACACTGACATTAGTTTTTCAAACCACATTTTTGCTGGGATATAGCTCAGTGGCACACTGCCTGCCTAGCAAGCGCAAGGTCATGAGTTTGATTCCTGGTCCCAAATAAACAAATAAAATCTCATTTTTTGTTATATTTTGTTTGTGGAAACAGGGTCTTGCTATGCAGTTAAGGGTGACAATGAACTCACCATGTAGCCCAGGTTGGCTTGAAACGCACAGCGATCCTCCTGCCTTAGCCTCCTGAGTTCTGGAGTGCTGGGATTACAGGCATATGCGGCCACACCAAGCTAAAGTCACACTGTTTTTGCTGTGAGGCTCTCTGGCTCAGAGAAGGACTGAGGCCTAATCCTCATCCCTGAATCCTGAGGGCTGGAATGTCAGGATTGTGGGACAGCAAGCTTACTGAAAGGCTGAGGGAATACGTTTCCTAAGAAGTTTCAGTGAAAAAGAGATGAATTTGAACATGATGTATTTAGTGCAGGATCTACAGGGTCTCACTATGTGGATTGGACTCATAGTGATCCTCCTGTGTTCAGCCTCCCAAGGGCTTGGATTACAGGCACACGCCACCATGCCCAGTCTCAACTGCTGTTTCAGTGCTGGGGGCTATGGGGGGCACAGCACACTGGGGATCAAACCCCAGTCCCTGTGCCTTCTTAAACAGGTGCTTTAGTCCACTGAGCTATCTGACTGGCCCTTGAATTTGAATTTTAAAAAGCTGTTTCCTCCTTCAGATCCAAAGAAGCTACTGTCAGAACTCCTCTAAGTGGCAAACAGGACAGAGAAGGATCTCTTTCCTATACAGTCTTCTACCGCCACCTTGATTCTGTTTCTCTGTCTAACTTTATTTTCATAAAGGTTTGACATGTTCTTCGTAATACAAAGGAGAGAGTGAATTCCCCTCCAGTCAGCACTACCTGCACACCAGCCAGAAGCAGGGTCTGAACAAGGAATTCCGAGAGACACCTTCAGTGGCC